TTTTTTGGATTTATATAGCGTGACACGATTATAAATGTGATCTTAAAGGCAACAAGAAAACTGTGGAGCATTAAGTAAACCGAGTGTTTATGCTAAGTAGCGCGCGGAGCTAACAGATACGCCCCACGGAAGAAGTATATTTTCGAAACTGCCTATGTTAAAGATATTGCTACACCCTGGTTTGCATTCTTATGTACTTCTTTTTTTTCTATTCTTGGCAGGTTCCTGCAACAAACCCGTAGACAGTACAACTGGTGCCCAGCATGAGACTACCCTGTACTGCAAGACCTGCCATGGCAGAGAGTTTGGCATCAAAGGTTACGGTTTCGGTCAAGGCGCCGGCGTTCTAAACACGGAGAAGGGTAGCGGGGGAGGCGACGCAGCAAAGTTAGTAACATCATTGGACACCTACATATCGACATGAAACAGTAGTACAACGTACTTAAATTTAGTTAATAATAGTACTTAAATTTACCCATCAGACCACACTTCCTTTTAGGCGGAAACCACGGAAAGAAAGTGTTCTGCCCTTGATGCCCAGGCTGAAAGTTTAAACATTCGGGACAGTCGCTAAACAATTTGCGTTTTTTGTTTTCAGACCAGCACCCAAGGCCGGCCAACCACGTACCATCAGCCCGAAATCCGGTGGTTGCCCGCGCTGCGGACAGCGCGTTTATGATGCCGAAAAGGCCATTGGCTGCCCTGGCGATGTAAGTTCCCTGAACTGGCTGTGTTTACTTCATAAAGCAGAAGACCCCTCCATCGCCCTGAGGTGCGCACATGATGGCATACTGTTTGTCCACTTTTGAGGTTACGTGGATTGCAAAGATTAGACAATCTGGAAAAAAAGCGGTTGTATGTATGCGAGATCTCGTTCCGATCTTTGTTCCGGGAAGCTGGAGTCCTGTCTGATCTGCGAATAAAGCGTTGCCTAAATTTTTCCGAAGTCGGAGGAATACTATTCCTTCCCTAGTCGAAGGACAAACCCCGGGTTTCAAGGAGGGTAGCTTCCGCATAACAGAAGGCTTTCATAAAGGCCACTTCCGAAGTAAGACGTAAAGTGCATACGCGACTAGATGG